ATATATATATATATATATATATATGAATGAATGAATGAAATTAATTCACTATAAGAAGTTCCAATTCATGAGAAAACCTTTGGCTCTTCGATATCCATGGAGAATTAGCCATCCAACTGTCTTAGGACACTATGATCCTAAGTTAGGGACTAACAAAACACAAATTATGACATGGAAAGAACACTGAGTAAATCAATTTGAAATTAAAATTGCAGATGGAAAAAAAATCAAGTCTGCAAAAATAAAGGGTTACCCCATATTGATTCCCAACATCTGTGATTAGAAATTTGGGGGTGGGAGAATGAAGACATTTAGAGCAAAAGGGGAAGCGATCAGGAAGAACCTAAGGCATTCAATCCTTTAATAAAAATATTTTCCCTTCCTAAAACCTGGAGTGTTTAAAGAACATGATAATCCCAGACCAGTCATTTCCCAGAAATGTTAACCTTCCAAGGGAAAGTGACGCAAGATCCCAACACATGCTCTTTCCATCTGGCTTTGGCATCCCACTCAAACATTTCCAATCCCCAAAGCCCTCTGCGGCTAACTACATGCAAAAGAGTGGTCCTTGAGTCCAACACAATCTTGCCTACTTACATTATAAATCCCAGCCTTTACAAAGCTTGATTACAGCACTTCTACATGTAACATACAGTATTAAGCCCAGACTTAAGATTAGAATGAAAATTCTAGCGATCGTTCGTGATTCCTGCTGCAAGAGATGATTGCTGGATGACTGCGCCAATCCATTTCTCACAGTTTCTGTTATGGGGATAAAAGTAGGAAAGAACTCATGTAGGATCTAAATGCAATAAATTAGTAAATAAATCTACACTGTTGTATGTAGCTTTTCTTTGACATTTTATTTTAAAGGGAGAGTGTGACAATTAGGAGGACTAACAGGGCAGATCAGAATGTTCTTTTATCCACACCAACCATTTTCCCAACTCAAAATTATTCCCAATTGTTTTAACTGCTGTAGGGGAAAACATACCTGGTATTTCAGGTATGCTACCTATGATTCAGGAAATAACACACAGCCATCAAAACTAAGGGCCAATCCTGTTTTAAAACAAACTAAATTGGTGTCCATCACATCGGATGGCAGCACATTCCACAGTGTAACTGAATTAATAAAATGCCTTTACCTACCCTCACTCTAAATTAAAAAGTCACAATTGTTGTATAGTCTCCCTTGTAGGTGAGCTAACCCACTAATCATTCTGATTGTTCTTCTTTCTACATTTTCCAGCTCCATATTTTTTTATGAACAAAACTATACATGGCATTCCAAGTGTGCTCTCAATATATATTTAAAAACATCAGAGAAATCTACATGTAACAGTATGCACTGTGTGTGTGGCCAGAGGTCACAGAAAGTAAGTCACATCGTTGGAATGTGAACCCTAACTTTCCAATATACAAGATTACTCTGAAAAAAAAACAAACCCTTATTTATATTTTAAAAAATATCGCAGGGTGCTCAGAGGAGAAATAGCCACACTAGTAAAATCCTTACTTCTGACCACAACTTTAGAAAAGCCTCTACTGGTTGGATTTTTAAACAGCAGAAACAAAAGGTACTGAGGCATGGATTACTCTGACCTAATAGTCAGTACTAACTGAAAGAAAACAAATCCTGTTATTTTTACGTATCTGGGTTCAACAAAGTACTTAAACTGAGATAAAATATTGGTGTTTACTTTAATATACCCAACACAGTTGCCATGCTAGAACTCAGTGGAATAACATGAACTTTGCAGATTAGACTGTGTTCTCAGCTGTTGATCACAGGCATGGAGTTGTAAGTGACACAACTTACATGGTTCACTACAAATTGGCACACAGGCAACATGATGCCAGGCACCATCCCATGGAATGAGGAAACTCTAAGTACCTGTGCCACTTATTTGGTAACAAGTTGGTATAACTATCAAAGTCCCAAACAACTTGAGGTCAAGTTATATGAAGGTCAGCCTCATCTCAGGCCATCCTATCTGTTCCTGCATATCTGCTACAGAGGCCTTTCTTGAAAAGTGCACGAGGCAATCCTTGCTGAACCCCAAATCTGTAGATCTCCTTTCGTACTGATCTGCTTTTTCTCTTTTCTATACAGGGTTTCAGGATTCCCTTTGATCTGAGACTGTACTGTACTTCTTAATGTATCCTATGTGCTTGTTACTGTGGCAAGGTTTAGCTATTCCACTTGTTTTTCTGTCATGTTGTGAGGATACAATATTGAAAAGTGTCAACATGCTTCAAACAGTCAAACAATTTTCATTTCCAGTTGCTCATAAAATATGTACATCAATTCCTGGTAGCCTTTTCAGGCTTCTAATATTTTAGCCCCAAAAACTGAAATCCAAAGAATACAAGTTTCTGGTCTTCGTGGCAAAAAGAGAGAGAAGCACGAGGGAAGTAGCATGGTATTTTGGAGAAGAAATGTATACACTTTCTGTGAAAACTGAAACTAAAATAAAATGTGTTTCAAATAAACTATGGTTAGTATATGACCATACTTTGTATGAACAAAATCAATACTTTCAAAAAAATTGATGCAGCCCTGCCCAGTACAGATTGATATGAAAACAGTCCAAAGGTTTTCCTGCCTACAGTTTCTTCTCAATGGGATTTCCAAATGTACAACCTCAAGAGATGCTCATAAGCTTAGTATAAACCAAGAGAATCTTGTGTCAGGTTAAGATAAACAGATTTATTATGGCATATGCTTCATGGACTGGAATCCATTTCATCAGATGAACAATATTTATCCTACATTATCTACATGCATTATCTATAGAGTATAAATTAAAAACGGTTATATACTTTACGTTTTGCATTTCACAACCACTTCATTACATGTTTAACCATTTTTTTCACTCACTCATTTCTACACCTACCTGTCAGCTGTCATTTCATGCATTTCATTACATGGATTCCACTCCATAAGAGACCACTTACATTTATTTAGCCATTAAGGATTCTTTATTGGTTTCACTGCAACATTTTAATACACCTCCCTGTACAGAAAATGTTCTCTTTCACTGTAAGAGACAAACTAAAATAGCTTGCAAAGCTTTCCAGTAGTTTGCTAAGCAAATCTATGAACATCAGTTAAATTCTGATTTGAATCATGAAGTCAATTCAATTTAAGCACTTGAATGGAACTGTTAAATTAATTCAGTTCAGATCTCCAAATCAACATCCATTTCTGCGTATGTAGAAATATCCAATGAATTCAAAGGCATCAAATGAAATTTAACAATTTGACCTGACTTTCTACTTCAATTAGGAAAGTCAATTTAATTCAACAATTCATTCAAGTATATTTCAAATCAGATCTGTAAATCGAATACTTACACAATCCTATAAAATACTATAGAAAGGCTGCTAGAAGTAGGAGATAAAAGATGGAGGCAGTAAGACCGGACAGCGACCAGAGAACTTGAAAACCAGGAGGCAGGGAGAGACAGAGTAAGATGACACCTTCAATGCTTTTGACTGCTCCAATTACTTTCCCTGTACTGATCAGCTGAAATCTTTACAACAACCCTGTATGATCAGTCCATATTATTAGTCCCCATATAGCATGCACCCAGGCAGCAAAAACAAGGAGAACTCTCCAGCAGTAATCAGATTGTAAATAAAGATGAGGAGAGCCAAGGTAAAATAAGAAATGTAGGTCTGTACGTGAATGAATCAGGAGTGAAGAAAAACATAGAATAGTAATATTGGGACTGAAGAACTTTCCTATGGGCCATTCAAGTATAAAAAGTTAACCACAGGTAGTGAGCAAAGGTCTTTATTTCTTGGCAATTCTTTTAGTAAAGAGGTTGGAGAACCTGTGGCTTTTCAGAGACTGCTGAACTACAGTAAAACTTTCAGCAGCACCAGCCAGCCTGCCAATTCCTGTGATACAGGACAGGGGACAGGCTATCAATGTCAAAACCGTTTCTAGAGAATTGAGATGAAAAGGAGATGCCTTTTAAGTGGAATAGAAATTGTGGAGTAGGGGGGGAAATTAAGGGGGAAAAAAAGGAAAGGAAAGGAAAGTTATTAAAAGTCAAGGGATAAGGGATGTTGCTGCCTGGGTATATAAGCAGCTGAGGGCTGGAAAAGGGGGGATGGCTTGGACAGGGAGAGGTCGTAGCTAGAAAGAGAGGGCGGGCATAAAGCGCCAGAGAAACAGAGTTGAGGGAAACACAAGAGTAGCAGTGGAGGGAATGGCAAGCCAGTGAACAGTGGGAGGGAGGGGGGAAGAGGAAAACCAGAGAGGAATTAAGATCTCTGTGTGGCTGAGAAAGAGGCGGTGTGGTGCTGGGGAGGACAGTGTGGCTGGAAGACAAAGGGAGATGGATGCGATGAGGGACTCAGCCTAGAATAGAGGGGTGGGGAGAAAGGATGGGAAACGGATGGGTGGAGGGGGGGGGAGAGAAGAGAAAGAGAAAGGTCAAGAGAAAGCGCAACTCACTGGAGTGGGAAAGAGGTTCAAGCCGGGGTGGGCTTTGGGGGAAACCGCAGTCAGACCAAAGAAGGGGCGCTTCCGAGGAGACCATATGTTGAAGCGAAGCGGGAAAGGGTGCTGGAGAACAAGGGGCGCGGGGGTGGAAGAGAGACGGCGCTGGAAAGCTGGGAAGGGGCATGGCAGGAATGACAGGATGTTTAGGGGAGGGGTTCTTGGGTGGGAGTCACGCCGCGGGACCCACCTGGAGCCAGCCCAGGTACGAGAGCCCGGAACTGGGACGCTTCCAGCCCGCTAAGCTCTCAAATCCCCGGCACTCACCTCCTCCAGCGAGAGCTTCCCAGGCAGCTCCCGGTCGCAGGACCGGAGACGCGTCCTACCACCCAGCTGCCCAGGCCCGGACTGTGGCTCGGTCCTGCGTGGAGGCGGCCGGGAGGGGAGGGGAGGGGGGCTGCCGAACCGACGCCACGGCACCGACGTAAGCCGAGGGGTGGGCTCACTCAATAGCCTCGCCGTGCCGGGAGGGGGAGAGAAAAACCCGGCACGGGCGGGCGCAGCAAACAGGGAAATCAGCACCGGCTTGCAACACTGAATGACGAAGTGACGGGGGAGTCAAAGCCGAAGCGGGGGTGACGTAATCAGACCCGTACGCATGCGCTTGGGTGTCGGTACAGACTTGGGGAATGAGTTGCTTCATTCGACAGACGCGGAAGGGAGGCTTTTTTATGTTCCCTTCTGATACATTGTTTTTTTGTTTCTCTTTCTTTTCTCGGGTTGATTTTTATTGTATTTGCTCACCCGGCTCTCCCCATCAATTATTTCGCGTTTATTCTTGCCATCTTTTTTTCACTCCTCAATTCCCTTCAATTAACCGAGCACAAATATTAAACGGAGGGGTCCGCGTAAGGCGTGCCCCCCAGGCGTGGCAGGAAGGGGCAGAAATCATAGAAGCAGCACGGCAAGCATCGTACGGGTCTCGGCGGGGAAGGGCAGCACTGTCCAGGCAGGACATTGGGACCCGCTCGGCAAAATAATCCCGACTGAACGCCGCCTGCCACGCACGACCCCAAGATCGCCAAAGCAAAGCGTCTCGAGCTGTAATGTTTGCGCCGCTTCGATTAATAGCGACTTGCTGAATGAATTCAACAGCCGGGTTTGTACGAGACATTAGTCATAACCAGCCAAACCCTATTTTCGTTCTCTGTTGCGCAAACCCAGTAAAGGGTGATGTCACCAGTGGGGCATATAGATACAGTACTTTATGAAATGCCCATTCCGGATTTGAGGTGCCAAATGCGGACGACCACAAGATGGCGGCAAAGAGACTTTTCTATAGCTCTTCACCTCCACCCAGGGGTCATCTGCATTGTTGCAACGCCAAATTTATAACCCCCAGATACTAAACATTCCTCACCGCCTTCTTTGTGGACCCTTCTTTTTATTCTGTTAACTTGGATTTCTTTCTCAAATGGCATACTCTGGTAGAAGCACTCAACATAATTTGTCCCAGACACTTAGGTATAGGAGAGCCTCAGCTGCATACCCTCCTGGCAGAGAGAATGAACTGAAGTATTTGTGTGTATGATGTGTGATTGTGCGGGGCAAAATTCAAATTGTGATACTCATTCAGCCGAAACACTAACTCCCTATACAGCTTGAGGTAGGATACTAACCAAGCAACAAACCTGGCTGCTTTCATACGCAGGTTGTCCCCGTTTACGGACTGCCTTATTTAGTGACCATTCAAAGTTACAATGGTTGGAAGAAAAAAAAAGCTTTGTGACTAATCCTCGCATTTACAGCTGTTGCAGTGTCCCCATGGTCACATGATCAAGATTCGGGCGCTTCGCAACTGGTAGGCATTTATAACCATTGCAGTGTCTGGCAGTTGTCTTGCCTGGAACACTCCCGCCAGAAAGGTGGAGGAATAACTTGACTCTGGGTAAATTCTGCAATGTGTGATGATGCTACACACCATTAAATAAATGAATTGCCAGCAAAACAAACAACCCACCCTGTTCCTTACCTTGGGACACTTTGGGAAAAAATCAATACAGGTAGTTTTCACGTAAAGACTGCAGTTGGGACTGGCAACTTCATCACTAATGACGCGGTTGTAAAGTAAAACACCACGTGACTGTGCCAAACCTATGACAGCAGTTCCACTGCGGTTGTTAAGCAAATTACCTGCAGTCATTAAATGCGACATTACGTGACCGTGACTTGTGACTTCCTGCTGGCTTCCCATTGACTTTGCTTGTTGGAAGCTGGCTTTGAAGTGTGCTAATGGTGATCACATGACTGCGACTGTTGTAAATGCGCGTCGATTGCCAACCGCCTGAATGGTAATCACATGACCATGTGAATGTTGCAATGGTTGTAAGTTCGAGGACCACTTGTAAAGCTACTTTTTCAGTGCCATTGTAACTTCGAACAGTTGCTAAACAGGGCAGTCATTAACCAAGGACTACCTGTAGTTTCAGAAAATAAGACAACTGATTACAACCAGTAATACTGCCTATAAACAATGTAAGAAACATTTGTAAGTATTTCTAAAGAGGATACATTGTATCAGGCTTCCAAATTGTCATCACTCCTACATTCCTTCAGAGTTTAAACCAAAAGAACATAAACTTGCTTCATGCATGTGGGTGGAACTTGTAAATAAATGTATGTGTGCCAATACGCTTCCTGCATCCCTACTATTTCATTTCAGGATAACTTCCAAGCACAACCTGTTTAGTTAATGATATATTTGTGCACACCCACCTTTCGTCTTCTTCTGACTCAAGTCCTGCAGAATGACAGGGCTTTACTGCTCCACCCTGAAGGTCTACTTTACATGCTTTAGGTGCAAACAGTGGCACGTGGTGCCATGCCCAAGTGGCAGCCTATTCCTGATAAACATAGCAAAGAGGTCTATTTCCCCCTTGTGTTTAGCAAGACATTTAGTTTGCTTTTTAATATAAATCAACCTAATTTACACTCGCTGAAATTATATGTGTATACAATTTTTCTTTAGGTTTAGCAATTCTCATTTTTCAGTGCATTTCACGTATTTAAAACAAAAGTAAACATTAGGGGGAATGGCTTTCAAAGGGTGTTCGTTACAGAACACTTTTACATGAAGCACATGTGAGGAAAACACGTAGAAAAATATTTATTAAAATAAAATGGTACACAACCTTTAATTTAAACAAATGCAGACTGATACTGAAGGAGAATGTAGAAAGTTAAACAGACAAGATTTGACTTTTTCTATTAGAAATCTCCCCTAGTTCTTAATTATTGCCATGATGAATTGTGGTCAGGTGAATTGACGTATATATTTAGCTATGTGTTTTACACCAGTACTCTTATAAAATACCAAATAGCTAGACATCTCACAGCAAGTCATGCTTTGCTTAATCACTGTGTATTCATGGGCCATCAAATAAGCTACAAATGGCTGGGTTTAGGCAAAACCGTATGTCAACACCAAACAAACAGTGTGTGGTAGGTACTAAGCAATAATAATAATAATAATAATAATAATGGCACATGGAAATATAATAAAGGGTAAAAAATGAGTGAGATACAATACACACATTTTTATAGTTAAAAAAAAAGTGTTTAAATTTGAGTGTCTCTTTGAGCCTGAGGCCCAGGCAAAATAGCCCTGCCTTTCATTGTTCCTACGGATGGCGTATATAAGTAGGACTGCCATATGTGGCCTGTACAAATCCAGACAATCCACAGATGGTAGCAAAGAGCTACAGTTTTTTCTACCTCTCTGTTGCTATCTAGTGGTGGTCTAATCTCAGATTTTTGTTGCCCAGATGTGGTAGCTTTTTATATGGGTATTCATTCTTTCCAGATCTTCTCAACTTTACCTTCCCAGATGTGTTTGAATTATATATCCAAGAGTTCCTTGTCTCTGTCCATGTTGTCTGGAGTTGATAAGTGGTTTAGTACAATGTCATCTAGGGATCCAAAGACCACTTTGGATACCGCTGTTCTTGACGTAGCTTATTTAATCTGGGATGGGAAAATACTGGCTCAGGGTTGCCCACGGAGGTTCCCCACTTGGGCTTCAGGCATTTTACCTAGATTTTCCCAGGCTTTCTCAAGCCCCACATCTCTCTCTAGTCCTTGGATGGGAAAAATTCATATCTCTAATCAACCCCCCCTCCCGAACACTTCAGAGGAAGCTACCAACAAAAACTAATTTTTCAGTCAGGGCAGAAGATTTTAAGGAATGCATGTCTATGAGTAAACTTTGTACTTTTGCAGGCAAGTACAACAAGGCTTCATGACCAGTGTGGATCATAGCCCCATTTATGCTGATATGCCTATTGCTCACTCCTTTTGAATTTATATTAAGCCTGAAAACTAGGAATCTTGCACCCCATTTAAAAAAAATACTGTAAATTAATTATCATGTTAATTATTGGTGGATACAACCAGAGGATTTAGAATTCATATTTAAGGAGAATTTAGATAGTGTTAACTATATTCTGTAATTTGTAGAATTACAAGGGAAGGCTACAATATGATTAAAGAAGCAATAATTGACATATATGCTTTAATGCAAATCATCTTTCAATTGCATCTTCATATGTCTGCATATGGTTGAAAATAATATCCTGAATTAGAAAGATGCCGTTTTAATTGCTATCTGAAAGTTTATTGGGAAAAAAATCAATTTAACTAAAACATTAACAAACTGCTAGATATATCTATTCAGAAGTAAAGCTGTCATTCTGGGATAGAGTGCATGCAAGATTGCAGCCAAGCATCTTCTGAGCACAAAACTATTTTCTGCCCTTTGCTTATATTCAGATACTGCATTCAAAACCAACTTAACCTTGCCAGGACATGAAGGAAACAAATGACAAATATGATGACAAATATTTCCTGCTTTTTTGGATCCCAAGTAAGCGAGCAAGCAAGCAATGTTCTTTGGCATTCTGAAATTAATCACCCTTGTAAGAAAAAATAAACCCACCCAGTTTGGTTAGGGTTTTGTTTTCCTGCATGGGAATTTACATTCTTGGGGGAAAATGACTCGGAGCTTCTGTTTTGTTTTCCCTTTGCTGAATCACCTCTTTAAAAAACCTCTTTGTTGATTGGGAAAATATGAAAGCCCTTTTCAAAGAGCCAGCTGAGCACCCAAGAGATGAAACAGCACAATTTACCCAGCTCCTTCCTCCAGCTTCTCTCTTGAGTTCAAAATAGCTCTCTATCACACCTCCTAAAAGAAAGGACTGGCTGAAAAACCCCTTTCAAGGATCCCTCCTTCTTTGAATTCCCTAAACTTGGGGAGTGGGACAGGTTATTAGCTGCTATGGAACAGTTGCAGTACAGGTAGTCCTTGCTTAATGACCACTCATTCAGTGACTGTTCAAAGTTATGATGGTGATGAACAAGTGGGACTTACGACCAGTCCTCAAAGTTCTGGCCAGCACAGCACCTCTGCAGTCACGTGATCATGATTTGGATGCATGGTGATTGGCCCACATTTACAATGGTTGCAGCGTCTC